ACTGGATTCAACAAGCACCCTGTCCCTACCCCAAAATACTTCCATTGTTCAGCCCCAAATATACTACAGTGTTGCAAATATAGGACATTCCAGAATATAGACTACATACAAAATGAAAAATATATGTGTATTAGTGTATACATGCACACACTCACACACACACACACACACACACACACACATATATATATATATATATATATATATATATATATATATATATATATATATATATATATATATATGCAAATGTGATTCTAGGTCTTTCTCAGATTGTATATTAACCAGATTTAGAAGGGTATGTGTGGTCTATTTTTGAACTCAATGAGTTCAGTAAGTTTTAGCCAAGTAGAATCCATAAGTTAGAAAACCAGTGCCAAACCAGGTAGAGTCTTAAACACCATAGTGCAGTGGAAGGAGAAATGAATTTGGACTCAATAGATAGGTTCAAATATCACCTCTGCCATTTACTACCTACCTGTGTGACCTTGGGAACATCACTCTACATTTAAGAGCTGTCTCCAAGATCACATAGGTGGGTAGTTAGGCCCTTTCTGGGCCTCCTTCTCCTTACTTATAAAATGAAGAGGTTTCTATTGATAATTTGATCTTCTGTAAAATAAGGAGATTGGATTAATCAGTTTCTGAGGTCCCTAACAGATCTAAATCAAAGATCTTAGGACCCAAGATTACTCCCAAGAAAATTGTGTCTTCAGGCACCAAGTCAAATGCCCAAAGTCCCTGAGCTTCAAACAAAAACCAAATGCCACCTGGCTGGAACAAAGTATCCCAAGGCATATTTCATATATGGCATACCTTCTGGATATGCTCCATTCCTTAACACCTTGAGATGAAGCTACAAAACTGTCACTACACTCATGACGTAAGCTTGGTCTAGTTTCTGAGGACCCAATAACTAGATATGCACTGAACCAGACTTCTAGGCAAACACCTTCATTCTAACTCCTGTGTTTGTCCTGTGAACACCTGTACCAAGTCTGTCCTCCAACAACCTGACTTGTGTTCTCCTCCACCCCACCTGTGCCCTCCTGCTCACTTCTGGAGTTCAAAATATACATGCTGATGTTCCTTTGAACACTTGACCTCCCAGTTCATCAGCCTCTTCAGTCCACACCACCTACCTCTTCATTTCACCTCAGACACTTATGGGAATAACATCATCATTATGCTCTGTCCAAGAGCTCCCCTCTGATCATAATCTCCAGGACACTAGAGGGCAAGGCTCCAGTCAGCTGGGACTAACCCAGTTCTCTGGCTGGCAAATTTTCATCACCTATTCCCCTCATCCCTGTGATTCTGCATTAGCACCTCCTAAGGCATAAATAAATAAACAAACAAATAAATAGATAGAGAGAGAAATAAATAAGTGAATGAATGAACAAACAAATAAACAAGTGAATTAAATAAAATAAACAAATAAATAAACAAATGAATATATGAATGAATAGCTAGATAATTAAATAAATAGATAAATAGATAGATAAATAGATAAATAAATAAATAAATGAAGAATGAATCAATTCTTTTCCCTTACTACCTCTGCTTGTATTCTCCTCACCATCCAACTCAGCCCTAATCTTCCCTCCCATCCCCTCCCCTTTTAATGTACCCTGTAGAACCCCTACTCTATTATTAACACACTCTCCTCCATCAGAGATCTCTTCTTTTCACACATCCATTTTCTTGAGTTCATGGAAGACTTTTTGTTATTGTTTCAGTTCTGTACAATTCTGTGTGGCCCCATTTGGGGTTTTCTTGGCAAAGATATTGGAGTGGTTTGCCATCTCCTTCTCCATCTCATTTTACAGATGAGGAAACTGAGGCAAATAGGGTTAAGTGACTTGCCCAGGGTCGCACAACTAGAAAGTATCTGAGGCTAGATTTGAACTCACAGAAAAGAGGCTTCTTGACTCTCAGCCTAGTGCTCTATCCACTGAGCCACCTAGTTGCCCTCATGGAAACCTGGCTTTCTACAAATTGTTCTTCTCCTACCAGCCCTGCCACACATGCATTCATGCATGTACTCGAGCACCCTAGCACGCACGCATACACACACACACACACACACACACACACACACACACACACACACACAGAAAGGGAAGGAGGCATGGGCCCTTGCTTCTCACTGCTATTTCCAGATCCTCCCTTCTGCAACCATCACTCAGTAGCTTCCCCTCACTTAAGGTTCACTCCATCTGTGTATTGCCCAGTAAGGGTCATAATTGCTGTAAGCTATTGGCCCCTAGGCTACTCCTCCTTCTTGCTATAGGAGTTTCATTCTTGGCTAAATTTTCTCTCTGGGCTCCACTCCTGACTCTCAGGTCTTCTTTCTCCACCAACACCCAGTAGCCTTCTCACTCAGGAAGATCACTTTACCCCAGAAACTCCTTCCTCTGATTGGTCAGTTCCTCCCAGAACTTCCATTTTAAGGAAAGTGCATCAGCCAGTCATATTCACTCCTTCATTCCTCTCTGGACTCTCCCCATGATTCCCAAGACTTCCTTCTCCACCATTTCCCTTACCTTGTCACCCTAGCCTCTTGTTTTTCAACTTCCTTTTATGTGTTGTCTTCCCTTTAGAATGTAAGCTCCTTGAAGGCAGGGACTAATTTTCTTTTTGTATTCTTAGTGCTGAGCAAGGTGCCTGGCATATAAATGCTTAGTGCTTGTTGACTTGACTTGTTAACTTGGCTCAAAATTCTTCTTCTCCATCCAAACTTCTCTCTTCCTGCTTAGGGCCTTCAACAGACGTGTTGGCGTTCTTTTGAAGACCGAGGCCTTTCAGTTCATCACTTTCTTTGGTTCCCATGACCTATATATTCACTTTGCCTCAGATGTTTATAGGAATGGTGCTTCATCATCATTTTACAACCCCCAAGATAGAGAATTCTAGAACTACCCCAATCACCATCTCCTTTTCTTCCATCTCTATCTCTGCCTCATTCCTCCTAAATCAATACTTTGTCCTCACACAACTGCCAGCGCCTACATTACTTCCTGTTCTCCAAGCCCATCCCACCCAACCTCACTTTGCTCCCTTTATAGCCTTGACCTTCATTCACATATAGATTATCTTATAACCTTGAATTTCTTACTTCCCTTAATGAACTCTAATGTTCTGCCCAAACTACACCATTTCCCAAACTCAGTGTTCCTTATCCCACCTCTGTGCATTCACACAGGCCATTTTCTTGTGGGAAGTCTTACTAATTTTCATTTCTTTACCTCATCAAACGCATGACCTGGCAGTGCTTGAGGTGAAGGTAATACAGATTCCCTGCCCTTTAAATGTTTTGGGATAGATAACATCTGATTTGTGAACTTCATATAAATAGAAAACTTACTTGAAGAAACCATAAACTGAACAAGTAACTAAAAAAGCTTGATGTATAAAAATTAACTTTTATAATATTTTCTTTCCTCCTATGTGAGTGTCAGGTTAATTTAAACAGACCTGGAGACATCCTTTTTATTTACTCTGTAGAAATAAAATACTTAGCTAGAAACTTGATTTGTGGCCAGAAATCTCTGCACTGTAAGCTAGCATATTTACAGTAAAGCCAATTTTTTAGTATAAAAAATTATTTCTCCTGGATGTATTTTCCAGATCAGCTATTTTTCCAATGAGGTAATTTATATTTTCTTCTACTTTTTTCATTCTTTTGATTTTATTTGACTGATTCTTGATGGCTTATAGAGTCATTAGCTTCCACTTGCCCAATTCTAATTTTTAAGGAATTATTTTCTTCAGTTAGCTTTTGTACCTCCTTTTTCATTTGGCCAATTCTATTTTTTAAGAAGCTGTTTTATTTGGTGGGGTTTTTTTTTTCCATTTGGTCAGCTGTATTTTTTTAAGGAATTGTTTTCTTCCGTCAATTTTTGCCCTTCTTTTCTAACCTATAGTCTCTCTCTTGTATAATTCTCATTTCTTTTCCCAATTTTTCTTCTACCTTACTTATTTGATTTTTAAAATCCTTTTTGAGCTCTTCCAAGAAGAGTTTTTGGTCTTGAGATCAATTTCATTTGCCCTTTGAGGCTTCACATGTAGGCATTTTGATGTTGTTGTCCTCTTCTGAGTTTGTGTTTTGATCTCCCCTGTCGCCATAGTATCTTTCTACAGTCAGGGCTCTTTCCTGTTTTTTACTCATTTTTAAGGCTATTTTGTGACTTAAAGTTGAGTTCTGCTTCTGGGGCACAGGGGCTCCTTTGACCCAGTGATACTACTACTAGGCCTATATTCCCAAAGAGAGCAAAGAAAAAAGAAAAGGACCCACATGCACAAAATATTTATGGTGGCTCTTTTTACAGTAGCAAAGAATTGGAAACTTAGGGGATGTTCTTCAATTGGGGAATGACTGAATAAGGTATGGTATATTAATGGAATGGAATGTTATTGTGCTGTAAGAAGTGAAGGGCACAGTTTCAGAAAAACCTAGAAAGATTTCTAAAAACTGACACAGTGTGGTGAGCAGAACAGGAAAAATAATTTATATAATAACAACAATATTGCAAAGACAACTTGGAAAAACTTAGAAACTCTGATCAATGCAATGACTTATGCATGATTCCAGAGGATTCATGATGAAACAAGCTACTGACTTCCTGGCAGATGATAGATTCAGAGTATAGATTGAGACATATTTTTTTTAACATGATCAGTGTGGGAATTTGTTTTGTTTGCCTATATACGTTTATAAAGGGGGAAAATATGACCTGGCCAGCAAAAGAATTGGTAGGTACAATCTCTTTGGAGGAAGTGCAATCAGTTAGATGACCTATTGAGCTCTTTCCTGCCCAAGCCTGTTAGTCAACTGAACAGTCAACTCTTCCTAAAGAGCAGAGAATAGATCTCTCCCTTGGTATCCCTATAACTTCTAGCACAATACTAGACACAAGAGGTACTTAAGAATGAATGAATAAGTGAATGAATGAATGAGCTAGCAAACAAATTAATGTCTCCAATGTTTTCCTTTCCAGGATATATCCCTGCTACCTCTGCCTTTGACTTTCAGATGGAACTTGACAGAGCTATTGCAGTCCTGGTGAATGCCCTTTCCCTCTCATCCTGGACAGCTGATGAGGCCAGCTCATCAGATCCTATAGCACAGGTTGGTCCATTTATGTGTTCCGACTTGTCCTTGACTTGACCACTCAAATTATGCATACATACACACACACACATGCTCTCTCTCTCTCTCTCTCTCTCTCTCTCTCTCTCTCTCTCTCTCTCTCTTTCTCTTCCCTCCCCCATGCAGATGTGACAAACCTTTCTGGTGATATGCATACAATCCTCCAATTCAGAGCCCCTATAGATGACTCAGTTCTAGCCACCACCACCCCCTCTCTGGTCCAAGCTAATTGCCTAGAGCAATCTCCTTTGTTTTGTTTGTTCATTTTCTATCAAACCAAGCTACTCAGGATTTAGCCAATTTAGTCTAGCCAGACTCCTCTAGAGTCCTCACCAAGCCTCCTCCAGGGTCAGAACCCTCTTACTGGGCACAAAGGAAGAAGATACTGTTCTCTGACCTCAAAGTATCGTTAATAAGTAACAGCCAAATAGCATTAGCGGTTTCTTGATTACAGAAGGCACAAATGAATAGGTTTATTAGGGTCCTATATCATGATCAATTGATTCCTTTTAGACCTCTCCCTTGGATCAAGGTAGGAGGATACAGTTTCCAAGGAGACCAAAGCCAGTCACATGCCCAAATCAGTACCAACAAGAAGCCTGATTCTCACTCAGAAATGTGGAGCTCCCTCTCTGGCACACACCCTGCCCCGTGCTGCCCCTTGTCTTCTCTCACACTCTCTCAGTACAAGTATGTGGAGCATGATTTCTTAATCTTTTTTGTATCATGTACTCCTTTTGGAATTCTGGTGAAACTTACAGCCTCTTCCCACAATAATGTTCCTAAATGAATAAAGTAAGACACATAGGATTGTAAAGGAAATAATTAACAAAATATTTTTTGAAACAAGTTCGCAGACCCCAAGTTAAGAAATGCTCCCTGCTTTGGAGACAGAGTGTTCCAGGGCTGTCTCTTCTTTCCAGGGTTCTGAGCAGGATGGTGACCAGCCCTTCCCAACCAGTCAGCAGGACCCCAGGCAGGTACCTGAGGAGCTGCCCCTATCCAGTGAGGAATGCCCAGAAGCAAGGTATGGAAATTCTGATTCCCTCAGGTTCATGGCGGAGTCTACATGTAAGACTCTCTGGAAGAGAGTCTTATCAGTTTTTGATACCATGCTTGGAAATATTTTCAAAGTATACCTATTAAATAGAGCTTATTCCAATCCCTAACCAGTTCAAAGATTAAGTGTTTAAGAGGCTCTGTCTGTTTGTAAAAAAAAAAAAAAGTGTTAAACTGGGATGTAAGAGACCTAAATCTAACTTCTTAGTTGGATTCTTTTTAATAATTCTAATAATAGATTTCTAATAATAGCCTTTAGTTATTAATTAGTCTAATGATAACTTAATAATAATATAGTTGTCCCTTCCATGTCACGGGGATTAGGGGCACAGTGCTCCTACAATCTGGAAAATCCTCATAAAATTTTTTGGTCTTCCTTTCATAGCACAGAAGTATGAATTTTTCTTTCTTTATTTGTTTTATGGGGTGTTTACAGTATTAGCAGATAAAATATGTACTATATGTAATGTAAGTACATATATATATATATATATATATATATAATATGTACTATATTTATAGTATGAATTTCTGAATTTCTAAACTTTTTCTGTGTTGTCTGTTGGCCTTTGCGTGCTGTCTTTAGTTTCCACAAAACTCCCAAAAAATTTCCATTTAATTTCTTATGCCTATACTATATTGAAACCATGATGGGGAAAGTCGCAATGTGGAAGCGATAGTTGTAGATTTCTAACAAACCTTTCTAATAATAGCTAGCATTTATATAATACCTACTATGTGCTAGCATTGCATTATGCCAAACTCTTCACAATATTATTTCATTTGATCCTCGCAATAACCCTAGGAAGTAGGTACTATTATTATCCTCATTTTACAAATGAGGAAACTGATACAAACAGAAGTTAAGTGACTTTCCCACTAGACAGTAATAAGTGTCCAAGGCTGCTTTTGAATATAGGTCTTCCTGACTCCAGGCCTAGTACTCCATCCACTGTACCACCTAGCTGCCTTCTCTGTCCCTGGCTGCTGTGCAACCATTAGGAAACCATTCAACTCCTCTGGACCTCAGTTCCACCAATTCAAAACCAAAAGTTTTCCCTGCTCCACACAGAAATGTTGTAAGGACAAGTAGCATCAGAGAAGTGAAAATGCTTTAAAATCTTGGGAAGAAAGTCACTATCTGAACTCAAATAACTTATCATCATTAAATAGTTGAGCATTTGTTTTTTCATGCACCACAAGAGGAAGGGAAAGTGACTCATGTTCTATTTCTTTTGGTTAAGACAAGAGAGGACATTGGAGACAATCCCAGACTGGAAATGCCAGCTGTATCTTCAGTTTCCTCTTGGTTCCATATCACAGCAAAATGAGGGTGTCCCCCTCCACACTGAAGTTCCAGCAAAGGCAGGAGATACAGAAAATCCAACTCTCAGAGAACAGAGCACAGTGACAAGGGATTTGGATGTGGCGTTTCCAGACCTGAAGGTAGGTCCATGGCTCCACTGCCCACAGCAGGGCAATGCTAAGACTACATTTTGCAGAATAGCTGCCATCTTCATTTGTAAATTTCTTCATAGGGAGTTCCTTACACCAATGAAGTCATAGGTCCCAAACAACAACAAAAATCATGTTCTCTGGGAAACTCTTTCTAAAAAAATTTTTATGGATACTCTTTTATTCCCATGCCACCATCACTTTCCAGTGATTCCCCACTATCCTAATCCCTCCAACACAATTGTTCCTTGCTTCTACCAAAAAAGTACAGTTAAACAAAACAGATCCATAGATTGGCTGTATCCAAAGATGTGTGCCTAATTCCACATCTGTAGTCTGCCTCCTCTCTACCAACAGGCAGGAGGTATGTTTTATATTCAGTCCACCAAAGTCACAACTGGTCACTGCATTGATCAGAGTTCTGAATGTCTCAAGTACTATTTTCTTTGACATAATTGTGGTCATCATGTAAATTGTTCTCCTGGTTCAACATCACTTCATACAAATCTTCCATGTTTCTCTGATTCTTCATAATCTTCATTTCTTATGGCATAATAATATTCAAATATATACTACAATTTGTTCAACCATTCCCCAATTTATGAGTATCCACTTTCTTCAAGTTCAAAAAAGTTGGCATAAATATATTTGCATATATAGGACCTTCACTTTTGTCATTGACCTCCTTGGGTTATATGTCTAGTAACTGTATCACTTAATCAGAGAGTATATACAATTTTGTGATTTAACTAGGATAATTCCAAATTTTTTCATGAACAACTAAACTAATTCACAGCTCCACCAACAGTGCATTAATGTGCCTGTCTTCCCACAGCTCCTCCAATATTTCCCATCTCTCCCCTCTATACCTATGCCTATCCAACCACACATCAATTTTTTTAATACTCATGAGATTCCTATTATCATTTTAAACTGTATTGCTAGAAGTACATTCAGATGATCAGAGTCTGTGCTGGATAATATTGCCACACAGTGAATAATGCTTGCATGTAACCTTCTGAGGGATGTAGTCCAGAAAGAACATGAAGTCCCTGCCAGGATCTGCTCTCTCAAATAAGTAACACCTAAGCCAGTTGATAAGCCAAGAATGTATAATTGTATTTGTCGTTATCAGGAAGATCACTAGGTGGCACAGAGGATAGCGCACTGGGGCTGGAGTCAAGAAGATCTGAATTCAAATCCAGGCTCAGACATTCACTAACTGTGTGATCAGGGAAAATCACTTAACTTCTATTTGCCTTAATCTAATGGAGAAGGAAATGGCAAACCACCCCAGTATCTTTCCCAAGAAAACCCCATATAGAGTCACTAAGAGTCAGACATGACTGAAAAACATTTTTGACATCAGAGCCTATCCTTGTGGGTTAGGGTGGGAGATGTTCTGTTATTTCCAGAAATCAGCTCAGCATAGCAAGTTCTATCAATTAACAAGCATTTACTTACTAAGTTTAAGTTTCTACTATGTGCTGGACACTTGAGATGCAAAGATAAAAATCGAAGTCTCTTCTTTTAAGGAGTTTACACTCTATCAGGGGAATCAACATGGACACATTTACACACACACATATTATTTGTTATTGAGTCATTCAGTCATGTTAGATTCTTTTTGACCCCATGGACCATACTGTCCAGAGGGGTTTCTCGGCAAAGATGCTGGAGTGGTTTGCCATTTCCTTCTTCAGTGGATTAGGCAAACAGAGGTTAAGCGACTTGCCCAGGGTCATACTGCTATTAAGTGTGTGATTAAGATTTGAACTCAGGTCTTCCTGACTCCAGGCTCAGCATTTTGTCCATTTAGCCACCTAGCTGTCTCCGAGGCAAACATAGGTTAAGTGGTTTGTCCTAGGTCACATAGCTAGTAAGTATCTGAAGCCAAAGCCAGCACTCTAGCCACTGAACCATGTAAGTGAGAGAGACAAAAAAAGAAAGAGAGAGGGAGAGAGAGATGTGTATGTGTATCTATGCAGTTATACACGTATATACACACATATGCATGTATATACACATATACACATGTATATATATACATATATATAGTGTATACAAAGTAAACACAAGATAATTTGGAGTACACTAGCATTGGGGAGGGGGGTTGGGAAAAACTTGATATAGGAAGTAACACTTGATTCGAGCTAGAGATTCTCAGAGATGGGAAGTGAGGAGAGAGTGCACAGATAGATGATAGATGGATAGATGGATGGACAGAGAGACAGACAGATAAGAAAATAGAGTGATTATTAAGTGTTTACTATGTGCCAGACATTTTTCTAAACTCTGAGGATTCAAATCCAAGCAAACAAGGCAGTCCCTGCCTTCAAGAAATTTATTCTTTACCGGAGAGGAGATGGAAGGGAGAAGGCTACATAGTGGCATGATTTGGAGCTGGGAAGTGAAGCCTGGTTTGTGGTACAAAAATGCAAAATTTTGTTCAACTATGGAATCCAAAGGCATGAGACAGCATGTTGTATGTTAGGACCAGCAAGAAGGCCCATTTGGGAAGCAGCTAGGTGACTCACTGGATAGAGCACCAGCTCTGTATTCAGGAGGACCTGAGTTCAAATCTGGCCTCACACATATAACACTTTCTAGCTGTGTGACCCTGGGCAAGTCACTGAACCCTGTTTGCCTCAGTTTCCTCATATGTAAATGAGCTGGAGACAGAAATGGCAAAATATTCCAGTATCTTTGCCAAGAAAACCCCAAATGGGGTCACAAAGAGTTAGACACAACTGAAACAAGTCAACAGCAACAAATCCATTCAAGTAGTATCTGAATAGGCGCTTGTAAATGATGTAAAGGGGCTGCAGGCATTAGGTAAACAGTAACTTATAAAGCCCCTTCCAGCTCGAAGGTTCTGTAAGAACACTCTAATTTTCCCCATGTTATCTTTACCCCCATATGTTCTTGACTTAACTTACAGATTTCCTTGTAGCACTTTAAAATAAAACCCTTTTTAAAAAAAACTTAAATTAGGAAGAGTTAGTGGTTATTTACACAGAGTAAGGTTTGGAAGAGAAGGGGAAAGAAAAAAAAACAGAGTCCTTGTCTACAGGTTAGTGAGTGGCAAAACACCTAATCCAGAGAGTAGTGATAGCAAGACATCAAAAAGGGGAGCCAGCTAGCCAGATCTTGGATGTTGCTATTGGAAGAAAGACAGCCACAGAATGCCCTAATCCTACATCCTATGTTATCACAGGGTTCTTTTACAACTTCCCGGGAAGAAGACAGGCTGAGGATTCACTTTGATTCCATTCAACATTTACTGAGCAGCCAAGTGCTATAAATAAAGGGCTTGCTGAGCCTTACAGGTTATACAAAGATGGACAAAACATAGTCCTTGCCTTCCAAGAGTTTAACACTTACACAGGGAGCACAGAACTTCATTCAAGTGCTGAGCACCAGTGCCTCATTGTGACTGGGGAGGGGAATGCTACAAGTACATTAATAATGATGAAACAGGGGCAAGTAGGTGG